TTCTAAAAGTTAGCTACTACTAAAGATACTGAGCAGCAGCAGGAATTTGGGGAGGTGTGGGATTGTGGTTGTGTGTCTACAGTTCCCTTGTCCACTGCAGGTGCTTTCAGTTTTTAATCCTCATTCTTAGTAATACATTCTACATCTCTATCTAGTTTGTGTATATTATTTACATGCATATAACATAAATGTAGATTACATGTGCTTATATACCCACATATGTATGTACTTGTACCTAAATTCGTATATATACATGCATGCTTATGTCATATGTATTTATATGTGTATCTATATATATAAAAGCCTAAGTGACTGAATGAGTGAACAAACTAACGACCAGTCAACCAGTTACTATGATGTGCACTGATCACCAGGGGGCAAATGCTCAATGCAGGAGCTGCCCCCGGTGGTCAATGCGCTCCCACAATGGGAGCGCTGCTCAGCTGACCAATGGGCGCCAGATGCAGGGCTCACAGCTGGCAAGCACCACTGTGAGCCTTTCCAGATCAGGACTGACTGAGTGAGAGCCCACGGCAGGCACAGCAGGACCAGGATGAGCAGGAGCTGCAGGCAGCATTGGACTGCCAGTTTCAGCCCGATCCCCACAGTTCATGCTAGGGGACACCACTGGTGCAAGAATCCGTGCACTGGGCCTATAGTTTCTATAAAATAGTAGAGACCTGGTGCACAAATACATGCATGAGGAGGGGAGGAAGAATTGCAGGAGGTTGGCTGGCTTGGGAGGGACCGCAGGAGGTTGGCTGCCAGCCTCAAGGAGGGAGCTGGCCCTCAGCCCCCCTGGGAAAGGGGCCACGTTCATCGCCACCCACCCCCAGTTCCTCATCCCAGCCAGGGCCTGAAGGCCCCAACGAGGTCAGGAGAGGAGGTGATGGTCACCAGGCCAGGAGTGGAAGGAACAGATGCCTGAAGCCAATGCCGCCCTCAGTGCCCCACCACCTCATGGTTCCCCCCTTCCCCACTCCTCCTTCCCTCACTGCCACACTGCCACCACAGCAGGTGGGTGGCCCCCGGGGAAGGGAGAGGACAGGAGCAAGACAAACCCTTGTGTTCAGGGCTTGCTTTCAATAGATCACAGTGAGGGAACTGCTCTGCTACATACGAAACCCTGACACAGAAGCAGGTCTCTAGGAATGGTTTAGCACCAGGGGCCAATGGGGGCTAGCCAGCCAGGGGGAGGGGCCACAGGAGGTTGATTGTGGAGTGCACTGACCACCAGGGGGCAGCTCCTGCATTGAGCATCTGTCCCTTGGTGGTCAGTGCATGTCATAGCAACTGGTCCAACGGTTGTTCCAGTCATTCAGTAGTAATGGTCGCTTAGGCATATT